TTATTTCTTATCAGAACAACTGGAATTTCTAAGATTGATAAGGTTTCATTGGGTTAAAGATACTGGTTCATTGAATGTACCAGGCAATGCCGCCCCTCTGTTTCTATGATATATAGATAGTCAGTAGGATTGTGTCTTTTACAAAACAGCCCCCAGATGAAACGCCCAGACAATTCATACGGTCAAATTTGTTCTAACATTACATTGTATAGGTTTTTGTTTATGTATTTCAAAGCAAATCTTTGGCTGGTCAACAATAAAATTTAACTGCAAAGGTCTTGTAATTTAATTCCCGCCAGTAGTTGAATGATGAATCTGATGTGAATGTACTTTTTGTCAGCTTTACTTCTCTTTTCGCATTGGATCTTAATTAGAGCAATGTATAATTAAAATTGTTTATGCATACCTGCATTGTGTTTTTACCGTCCTGTACAGCCAAGAAAATTTCCCTCTGGGATAATAAAGTATTTTCTTGTCGTATCTTATCTTAATTGCCTTTGGTCCTTTCTTTTGTCTCCCGCTTCCTAAATGATAGATAAGTCTCAAGTAGGATGTTATACTTTTACACATCACAACAAATAAAAAGACACAATTATCTCTTCCAAGGCTACACAAGCATAACATCGAGCACACTCTCCAATTAAGGCCGGCCCAGAGTGGCTCTGTAGGTCTGACCAGTAGCTCACCCAGCTCGTACAGTGCAAATTAAAAATAAACATTATCGTGTGCCTGAGCAGCGTCGCTGTATGGTCTATCTGTTGTCCGCCTAGCTGTGAGACGCGTCAGACGTGCTATTCAACAGTGTTGTAAAACACGTCGGATATGTGTCGTACGCTGCCTTGCTTCGTGTTTATTCTCGACTGAAATTCTTCTCAGATCATCAAAATCAGCAAAAAGTAAGTATTATTAGGTGCTTTACTATGGAATATTGATGTTTGACTACAAAATCCCAAGGAATACACTTTATCCTACATTGAAAATTCAAATCGAAAGGTTGACCTAGTTTCGACTGTTTACACCCGTAGGCCTGTGTGCTTCTAGCCCACTGCGGCTGTGCTGACACGCAGAGGGCGCTCACTCAGACACAGAAGCCAACGTACGGTGCGACTGTGCTGATACGTAGACAGGTCAGACCTACAGAGCCACTATGGGACCGGCCATAGTGTGAGTGATACTGACTGTAATGCTTTCGAAGTCATGACTATTCTCGCTGAGGTAATGCAGCAGGTGGGCAGTTCGTGTAAAACATAATAAACCTCATGCCTGCTGCCTCTTATTTCCAGCCAACAACTCTACTTATTTGTTGTTCTACCTAAATGTAAATCCGTTATGTGTATCTTTTCAGACACACTGATTAAGCTGGTTAAGGTTACGCTTTGCCATCTCATTTGATGTCGCCCAATTTTGCCAAGCCTGAGATTTTAAGGTCAATTTTGGGTGACCATATCTCGGGCGACTTTTAACATTGATGAACTATTTATGTTTCAGAGGATGGAGAATTTCTTTACCTTCAAACTGGTAAGCTGCATGTGTGGGAAATGAAAAGTATTGGCACAATTACTAGGAGGTTTTTCATGATAAAGTGATTCACAGTTCAACCAAAAATTCATCGGCAAATTTGCTCAACTTCGGCGTCTTTCGTGTAGGTTTTTGTAGCTTTGCTGCCGTAAGCAGGAGACTCGAGTGCAGTTCCCAACTGGGGATATATGATTTGTTGAGTTTTTGTGTCGTTCTGCTAGGATTTTGTTTCCTCTCAGTTTGGATGGCCCTGTCAAGCATGGTCGAAAGCCCGCCTCTCACTTTATTTAAACTGGTTCCATAGGGGTGCAAAAACATCTACATCGAGAAAAAACCTTGCAGACTCAAACACCTATTCAGATTCAAAATCTACTGGAAGGGGATAGCTTTGAATAAATTCGTAAAAGAAACGAACGGCTAAAAACTGCCCCATTGGCACAGTAAAAACCCTGCGACAAATGGAGATATAGATTTCTACCTATTGTATCCGCGTGTTTTGCGTGCTTTGACTAAGAACTCTTCGACAGCGGAGTACCACTTCAACTTTATTATCATCATTGTTGTTGAGATAATATTCATCATAAAAAAGGCATCCAGCACTAACAGCCACTAATTGGTATTTCCTCTTCGAAGAAGAAAGGCACAGCTCATTAACATATTTTTCATCATTACAAAATGGGGACCAAAAATGTGACGAACAACGAATGTCTGTCTGACACGGTGCACAATAGACAGGCGACATAATATTATTTCTAATGGTAGCTTCATTAATAGGGCATTCTGTGCTGACAATAAAAATGATTAAAAAACAGATTAAAATTGCGATTGCACACAACCAGGGATCATGTCGATGGGTCTTATTTTAGCTGTTCGTAACACATAAACGACTTCGATTTTCAAAAGTTGTTCTTGTGCCAATTTGGAAGCAGTGTCAAATGAGAAATCAAAGTCAAGTGAATAGTCATCTCAGAGAACGACTGCAGAGGAATCATGGAATTCTCC